CGCACATATGATATCTTCCCACGCACTTTTATGGGAATTATGAGGTAATAGTTAATAAATGCTCAACTACAAACTTGCTACGTATAGCTAAAGGAGGTGCTAATGCTTACTTTAGCGTAGCGAATTTATAAAGGCAAAGGATACTTCTTTACTGAAAAAATGTTAGGTATAGATACCTATAATGAAATAAAAAGCAATGGAACTAGAAGCACATTTTCGAAAAAAATTATTTCTCCGCTGAAATACTTTGGTCGGATATGTAGCCGTTGTGTTTTTATCGCCATTCATTTTTAATTTATTATCTGCAAATGGGAAAAGTAACCCCTATCGTATTAAAAATGCGGCGCTATGCAAATTTGCAATTATCGTCCTACAACTGTGGCATCTACATCTTCTAAACCTTTTGAGTATAGCTTTTCCGAATGGTTTAATTTATTTTTTACAAACAAACCCTCATATTAATCTAACTACAGCATATATTTCAAACCTAATTCTACAGTGTTAGTTATACATAAATTTTGTGAGCTTCTTGTGAACATGGTCGCACGGCAGTGGTCCATGGGATAAGCGTTTGTGAAAGGGTGGTGTCAGGGGTGGTTTGAATTTTCTTGCAAAAAAAAGTTAAGCTGCCACAGTGTGTCAAGGTTCCAAAGTGTCTTTCCAAACAAATTTTAGTAAATTTATCTGGGTGATTTCGACCTACATATATGTGTCATCTATATCCAACCGGGGTCAAGATTGCGGGAATATAGTTCAAATTCCGTCTTTTTAATGGAGATATAGTATTACATTTCTTACCTCATAATGATATAAAGTCAACATGTTTTGGAAAAGAGATGAGATTAATTAACGACCTTTAGAAGCATCTAGAATGGGTACCAAGAGAGGCACTAGCCAAAGTTTAATCACTTTCAATCCAGGTGACATCTGATAATCGTAAAGAGTGTCCCATTGTACATCAAAACATGGTCCGACGGCAAACGTCCATTGCAAGAAACATTAACAACAAGGTATTGTACTAATTTGCATCTACATAACCGTTGTAAATCTAAATTGTTCTTTGGATGGGTCCGCTTTGTAAAGTAGGTACTTAGGTAAATTACGAAAAATAAAAAAATCTCTTTTACTGTTGCAATTTATTAAAGTACATTTTTCGTACATATTTTTACTAAACGGAGGTTGTTTACTGCAAAGATTTCATGATTATGTACAAGTGTTTATATAAGGATCTATTGACAAGGAAGTAATTTTATTTTAAGTTTAATTTATTTTTATTTAATAAAAACTTCCTTGCGGAAAGGTAATTTGTGATCCTACTAAACTGGAATTTTTAATAGGGACCCGTACAGGACCGAAAAAAACCGAAAATCGGACCGAAACCGGTATTTTTCTGGACTAAAAACCGAACTGAAACTGTTACTCCTTCAGAAATGGAAATCTACCGAGAAAAGATTATTGGAAGCTGAAGGATGCGTCGGAAAACACGTCCTGAAAATTGATAAAATATTACTCTATGATTGCCATCGATGGAATATAATTTTTTTATAAGGTGTCGAAGTTGCAGGTGGTAATTTACCAACTAATGTAAATCTAAATAATCAAAAGAGGGGCGAGGTTTTAGAAAATAGAAATAATACACAATACTGCATACATAATTTGTTTACATAAGTTTTTGTGTATTTTTTCTATTTTTTATTAATAAATTAGATTTATCACGGATTTGAAATTGGGTAAAAGGATTCAGATTTGGATTGGTTTAAATTAAGCTAATTTTAAGGAGCAAGTAATAAGAAGATTTTATCAATATATCCTCGTAAATATCCCGTTGCAGTTTTTATAATTTATTAAGCAACAATTGTCTTATTTTCAATGATTAATAACAGGTTACGTTGTAACTAAGCACCCGCGTTTTTCACTCTGAAGTTTCATACCCGAAGTTATGACCACACCGTATATTTGTAGAATCGACCACCATTGCTGAACACTCGTTACTAAATAGTTTCTGAATTTACTTATTTGCTGTAGAAGACAAGGAGTGAGCTTTGCGCGGTTTCATTTTGTTTAATTGTTTGTCTTACCGCCGATAACGCAAATAAGTTTCGTATCGTAGTGAATCGAACCTTTTTGCAAAAGTTCCGGTAGGAATATTTAAATTGTTTTTTTTACAGCGCCGAAAGCTCTCTGGTCAGTGAAGAAGAGAGAGAATTAATCTTATTAAGTTTTAGGTCCGTTAATTACAATTAATCGATTTTAGTTTTCTAATAGTACCTACCTCTATGAAAAGATTAAAAGAGGCAAAATCGTGCAATTTAAGGAAAATATCAATGTGGTAAACGATTGCGCCGCTTGACCTCACATTCCAAGGAACAAAAGGGCATAGATGAACAGCCGAACTTGGAAATTTCTTTCCGACTATTTGGATAAGTATAATAAGGCGTAATTATTTAAATGAGTTACAGATAACAACCGCCTATTAAGTCGAGAGTGCATCAGTTAGGGGCGCGCTTAAAAAGCTTGAAAGTCTGACATCGGGGCAAAATTTTTCCGATGTCAGGGAAAGGAGTAAGTAATTAAAACTTCTTAAACTTTCTACAGTCGAATACCTTCCCCTATCACTGATAATCCACTTCGGAAAACTTGCTCTTGGTATTCTTAACAGCTTTTACGAAACAGAACTTAATAAAAGCATCAACCGTAACTAAAACGTAACGATTTCTCTTTTTACTCTTACAGAATGGGCCCAAATAGTCGGTGTGGATAGTATGAAGAGGTCGGGGGATTTTGGGTAGTATAGGATGTAAATACCCTGGTCGCTTTCCAAAGAGGCGATCATCTGATGAAATGAAACGATATTTGGATATTAAGCGCCTTTAAAAAGACCTCCCTTTGGAGTAGTAGACTATGCGTGATCGAACCTAAAGTGGACCTTTGCACTTCTGCGTATCTTATCTTGTTGAAGGAGGTAGTCTCTAAACGTTGGCACTGAATAGGAATACCCTGTTTTTCAATAGTCGGCACCAAAGGCTCCTGTTCCTTAGTTTGAGGCGTAAAATACCATCCCATAGGAAGTGATTCTGAGATGGAAGGAGCCTTTCATTAAACCTCGCCCTCCTCTTCATCTGAATAGGAAAAACTATAGGAACTAAAGGGACTGATATCATTGAGCCTATCCAGAACCGATGTCAGAAGTCTCGACTTTAAAAATTTACTGAGGGACGGATATCGATACTTTCTGCGTCAGAGTCTGCTTAAGCTCACGAGAAACCTCCAACCTGAAGATTAACAACGGCTTGAGATCCGTTATAGCACGTTCTGAGCTATCGAACCAGGGCCGCCGTTAGCCTCCACGGGCCCCGGGAATATATCTGATGACCGGGCCCCTATAATGACAAATTTGTTTGTTCATCATTCTTATCTTCAGATAATCTTTCCTCCTTAGATTCAAAAAAAGAACATTTGAATAATTTTCATACAGGCACAGGAACACAGGAATTTTCATAATTTAACTCTTGGGATTTTTTTATTAACCAAAGTCGATATCACTTGATTAAAATGATTCAAGATCCACCACGGAAGTCCTCGCTGAGCATCTGAGCCCCTAAAAACAACTTATTTAGGGACGTAGTAATTATTAACTTATGAAAAAACTACGGGCCCACAGTGGGCAAGGCGTACCGAAATTTATTTAGCATTTTCCGAATCCATTTCACTATTAAAGAGCTCCTTCTTTAGAAATTGATTAACTTTCCATTTTTTTCAACCCTCTGGTAAGTAAGCTACTGCCAGCTCTTTAATTCTGGAGAGCGAATGGCATTCTCGTTCTCATCATCTAACTCCAGCCGAGACAAACAGCTGATTTCTTAGTACATTTAGGTATAATAAAATGGCAAAGAATCAAGTGAAACGGGAAAGATACCGTTTCTTCATTAATTTTCTTTCAATAATTGATTTAATTTCATTTCATGCTAGCCGGGAATTATTTGACAAATTTTATTGATATAATTCAGATCAGAAAGTTGAAGCTAAGATAGGTCAAAGTTTCACGCTGTAAAACAGGAAGGCCTATTTCTGACACCACGTGTTTCGTAAATGAAACAGGGTTAGATTTAAGATAAATGCAAAAACCACCTTAAACAAAACGATATTTTGCACTCCCCCATCTTGTTTCTTTTGACCTCGGTGCTGTTTAAATGACAAATGACAGTGGCAGATTTATGTAGGCATATTGCATCTTTTAGCAAATTTATTTTTGGATTTAGATATTACTTTCGTCAGTCAAGATTGGAGGTTTTCCTATCTTTTTACATATACCACAATACATGACATAAAACCAAATTTTACTATCGAAAAAAAAACGACAAATTACCAAGGTGTAAAACGAGGGGTTTATTTTTAATGTAACTTGGTCGATATACTAAAAACTCTGAAAGTTGTTGAACCGCAACGTATACGTAAACTAATCTGTACCACCCCATTAAGCGTGACTTTAACATTTCACCTACATTTGCAATTCGAATATTGTCCAAAGTTCAGCCAAGCACGAAGGGCTGTGGATAAATATCAGCTCATACCTTAGCGTTTCCTTTTTCTAGGTACCGAATAATTGATATTTTACAGTTTCGTGCTTTATTAATAATTGCGTATACTCCGGATAGTAGTATTGATTAGAGGTTTACCTAAAGTTTACAGATGTACATAAGTTTCTAATGATATTCTAGCACAACCTATTCATTATGTTTTTCAATTGTAAAAGGAAACGCTTCAAAGTGAAACCTTTTGTTGTTTTCATTGGATATACAATGGAAGTTTTTCTTTCTCAAATAAAGGTGATTTAGGAGGTTTTCGTAATTAGCATTTTTTGCCTTTACCCTTTACAATAAAAGAATAAAAATTGAATGTAAATTGTTCCGGTGGTCGATGGCTGAAGCGCTTGCGTTCGCGCATCACGCGGGCAAATCACAACTTTTGGTGGTAGACAACCCAGTCCCGATCGTCCCTACAATGTTTAAGGGTTGGTACCCCTTACATGGCTTATCTTTCGATATGCAAATCGCGGCATAAAGTAGAGATCGCGAAATTCGCTTAGAATTTTTCAATCAAGTTTTCGAGTGTGTTGTTGGGTTCAAAATCGCTCGAATATGTAAATAAAAATTGTGAACTTAAAACTTGTTAAAAGTGCTTTTTATTTTGTGCAATTAACGTGTGAGTAGCTATACATAATTTATGCTTCATTTCACATTTCTTTCATGTAAACAGTTAACGAGACCGATGATGCCCACGCAAGCTTGAAAATTTAATTCCGCTCATCCTGTTTTTGATTTCATCGGAATAGCTAAATGTCAATTTTCCTTTCAACAATTCGCTGTGCAGACAGCTTAAAATAACCCGCAAAGGTTGAGAGATATTGGAAACACCCTCAATAATTGATGGGCATTATATTTTCTCTTAGTCGGCTAATTTATAGGCAGAGAAATTCATTTCGTTTAAGTAATGTTAATACAGTTTAAAAGTAAAATAATGTTTGAAGTTTAAACGCCGGAAACTTAAAACGCCCGGAAAGTTTGCAAGTTGCAATAAGCGATCATTTGAGCGGCCTCTTAATATCTAAGATACTCTTATATTAAATATCAATTCAGTTTCGTTTTTATCAAGCACTTTTTCTCATTTATTTAATGTTATCTCTGTGTAATTAAAATGATTGATGTTATACTACTTAGAGATTTTCGGCGGTAAATGCCACATTCTTCTTTTCAAATGTTTTCTTTTAATTATAAGTTGCTAAATCCGTATTTGGGAGAATCTTAGCCTTCGTCATAAAATTTCCGCCCTTTATTTAATACACTTTTGCGGAGATTTCTTAACTGGGGTTGTTCTTTTAAATGTCAAAAAGCGTATATCCTTTTAGTGTCTACTCAAACGTAGTTGTACATTCGCAGTCTCTGGTATCATGAGCCATGACCAAGTAGAAAAGCTGACGTATTTTATGGGCAAGGTTCGTTTTTATGGCGTTCTGAGACATTAAACTTCATTAATTGTTTTTATCATGATAGAAAGCAAAATTAGTGGAATTGTGAGAGACTACGAATATAGTCGGATATGAAATGTAGATACAAAGTACCCATACAATTGGTAATGACGCTATTGCGTGATTATGTACCGAAAGGAGAAAGGAAAGGACATTTAACATATAATTATTAGTAACATAACGACGAGCATAATGAACGTCTAAACATCATTTTGATCATAGGATAGACGATAAAGTATACTACCCTTACGCTTAAACTTTTAAATGAAGTGTATTATATAAATTAATATTTTCAACCCTTTAAGGCGTAAGACGTACATTATATTACACTTAGCCGCATGAAAGGAGCTGTTACTAGTTGAAAGATTGATTATAATATATGATGTCCTAGGTTTAAAATGGCGACCTGTACCACCATTATCACCATAGTTGCATTGGTATGTGCCGCTACTCATTATGTTTTCGATAAAGGAAAACGGTTCGGTTATTATCTACATAGCCATTGAGAATTGCGATTCTCCCATTAACTATACACAATAATGGATCCAAACGGATGTTCTTGTTCTTATGAAAATGCAGCTTTGGGTAACACACCGTTCAGTTATAAAATAAAGACAGATAAAGTAACATATTATCAAACTCCCAGTCTATTTCATCTCGTCATGAATATTGAAGCTCAGTACGAGATTTCATTCGCTTTTTTTCTGGTGTTTAATTTTAGACAATTTGGCGCACTAGAGCATTTCCTTAGGAATTCTATAAAAAAGGGAGAGTTTTTTTTGGTCTTTCGCTTTTATTTTGTTTTTCGCGGATGCCTTGATGGCTTAAATTCCAATTGCGCTCTCTTCAAAGTGCTAATGGAATTTTTTTAGAGCAGCGGCCCTTTTCGCCCGTGAATCGTAATAATCATGTGATTATATTAAATCGTGAAATGTTTTATGAAAGTTAGCATTAATTAATATTAATATTAGACGTCCAAGGGTATTGCGAGATGTTACCAATTCTTTCGAATTCTTCGACGTTCTCCAAATACCATTTCGTTTCAACAAGCCCACTGTAATAACATATTGTTACTTAATAAAAACGTTTACTCCAATTACCGTGTGGTTCTGCATTACCTGTTTGTCTGAAAAGTTAGTTTATATCAAATCAGATTTTTCTCGTGGAAAGTGTATTATACTCTATAACACTAGGCAGAGTACTAGCCCAGGATTAGGAAATAAAACAAAAGTGTGAGAATCTCTACAGCGGTAGTTCGTTTTGGGCTTATAATCGTCGGTCCTTCCTTACCAATAGGGTTGAGAGCACTCAATTTCTATCTTAACTCTCCTCGTATGAAATTGAGAAGACACGAGGGTAGTAATAACAGTAAAATCAATTTAGGTACCAAAAGAAATACTGGTTTATTCAATCAACAAAAGCTAAAAATAAACTTGACCCCAAAATTGGATAGCGTATCCCACAAATACAAAATACTTCCACAAATACCTATTCAAAATGGTCAATTACGTGACTCGAAACTCGTAGTAAATTAAATGTTCAATTAAAATTCCCCAATTAACCAAACCGCCAATCGAGAATGATCGATTAGTAATAAATTGACATTAGCAATAGCACAAGGTTCCCAAGTGTTCAGATGGTCGGTGCAATCTAGAAAATTGCTTCAAGGTGCCCATTATCTCCATAAGATCGACACATGTATGCGCCCAATTAAATTAATATTTTCGCACGGAAACACCCTGGTAGTTTTGACACTCTCGAGCTTGGTATTGTTCAGTGGGAGGTCCCCGCAGGATGGATCCTCTACAAATAGAACATAAAACAGCCTTCTTACAATCGCAAACGCACATACCTCAAAGTTGATGAGAGGGCGTACAAATCAATTAATACGAATAAGGATATAACAATTATTAAATTACATCGGCTCAACCGTCAGATCTTGGATGTCTAAAAAGAAAATGGCGTATCACAGATCCTCCCAAAAGTGGAGATAAGTGCTTTAAATACCGCGAACACTGAGACAAAAGTCTAATAAATAATTTATGCAAATAGATCATTAGAATAAGGACACTTTCACTGCGCTGCGCCGGCGTCTTGAAAGGGAGAGAGTCCATTTCGGCAAACGAAAATATCCCCACTGCTGACTTGCGTATGGTGTGTCTAAGAAAGCCAAGGGATGGCGTAAGTTAAACTTTAAATTAAGCCCCCAAGACCCTTAATCAAAAGCTACAATTGAGACTAAATCGTTACAACCGGCGCTGTAGATAAAAGTTCCTTTAATTTTAAACAAGTTAAAAAGTAATCGTAAACGATTTACATAAAGCGCATTTCCACTTGCATTCATGTATCAAATTTCGTTTAAATTCTTCCATAAATAAAAAGTTGGCACTGCGCATGCGCAAAACCAAATTTTGAAATTGGCGTTTGATTTTCCTTTATTCCAAGTGCCTATGTATGAAATTTCGTTTAAATTCTTCCATAAATAAAAAAGTTGGCACTGCGCAAGCGCAAAACCAAATTTTGAAATTGGCGTTTGATTTTCCTTTATTCCAAGTGCCTATGTATCAAATTTCGTTTAAATTCTTCCATAAATAAAAAAAGTTGGCACTGCGCATGCGCAAAACCAAATTTTGAAATTGGCGTTTGATTTTCCTTTATCCCAAGTGCCTATGTATCAAATTTCGTTTAAATTCATCCATAAATAAAAAAGTTGGCACTGCGCATGCGCAAAACCAAATTTTGAAATTGGCGGTTGATTTTCCTTTATTCCAAGTGCCTATGTATCAAATTTCATTCAAATACTTTCTAAGTAAAAAAGTTTGCAATTCGGTTTATAAATGGTCGAGATGCGAAAAGGGCACTGTGAATTTTGAATCGATTCGATTCAACTTTTGGCATTGCGTATTATAGGGCTAAAGCTATGCCCATATTGAATTTCATGCAATTCAGTTCATAACTAACGGAGATGTAAAAGCGATCGAACATTTCTAAACAAAGTTATCGTTCACACGGACAGATAGATGGACAGACAGACAAAGGAACAGACGGACAGACCAACAGGCAGACGACAGATAGCAATGCAAAATTATAAACGATCTCTAGGATCGTTAATAAACGGCAAAAGTGTAAAATTATGGAACATGTAAAAAACGGTTTTTTGTTTTTTTTACAATAACTTTTTTTGTAAGCGGTACAGAAAAAATTCCTTCCTTGGTACAAGACTCGACACCATAACGAACCAAATAGCGAAAAAAGTAGAACAATAGCTGTTAAGATAAAGAACTAGTAGCGTCGCAAAACGAGCGGACGGACGGACGGACGGACAAAGTGGCCACAATAGCGCATTTTTTTTTATTTTTGTGGAAATGCGCTAAAAAGATTCGTCGGGGTTGGAACGACAAAAATTGCATTTGGTTTTATTTAAAGTTATCCCATCGACAATTAATTTATCAAAAACAGTATATAAAATATGTAAATTAAAAAAAAACTAAAACATAAGGTTGCAATTCAGGTCTCCCAATGTCGATTATGCACTGAAACGTCGCAAGGGCATTAGTCAATCCAAAAGGCATGCAACGGAACTGAAAAATATCACGACCAGGCACAGTAAAAGCTGTTTAAGGGCGTGACTACTCAGCAACTTCGGTTTGCCAATAAACTGGCTTAATGTCAAGGGAACTAAGATACTCGGCACCTCTCAATTGGTCTAAGATGGTCTTAATATACCTAAGAGAAATGAAGCGTCTCGCTCAGGTAATTAATTTAAATTACGGTAGTCCACAAAATCTGTAAGTTTTGTCTTTCGTCGGATTCAGACATGTGAAGCCCAACCGCTGTTCGATGTTTGGTCCCTAAGCATCTCGTAGATATGGTCATTGATGATCTTCGGTTTAATAGGATTTATGGGATAATATCGTAGCTCAGCTTTATGAGAGTAGCACCCTCCACCAGCAGTATTTCATGTTTACCTACTGAGATCAAACCTAACTTACCTCCCATGAGTAAAAATTGTTGATCCAAAAGGGTTTGTAGTGAATGGTGTTGTTCAGTAGTGAGACGAGTGTGTTCTATAATTGCAACACTATAGGCTGTGTTGGCGTAGAAGAAGTAAAGTGCCAAAAACCATCACTAATGTTCGGAATAATACTTACAACTAGTTTTGAAAGTGATACTTTCT